TGTGGTTTTAATTTGCATCTCCCTTATTACGAGTGATGTTAAACATTTTTTCGTATGCTTGTTGGCCATCTGCATTTCCTCTTTGGAGAAGTGTCTTTTTAGCTCTCCTGCCCATTTTTTGATGGGGTTGTTTACTTTATTTTTCTCGAGTTTCGTCAGTTCTCCATATATTTTTGTGCGTATTGCCTTTATTCATTTATTTGACAAATGACTGTTTATGTGGGTCTGTTTATGAGGTCTATTCTGGCCCATCCATCTATTTGTTTTCTACTAATATCACATCTTGACTACAGTGACTCTAGTAAATTTTTTTTAGGTTTTATTTTTTATTTATGCATACAAGAGCTGGGGTGTAGGCCAGCAATATGGGGGAGTGGTGAGAGGATTCACCAGAGACAGAATGGGGAGCAGAGCAGGTGGATCCACTGAAATACTCTGCCAAGGGGAGCAGCAGGCAAGACAGGAGAGATCTGTGTGCCATGTGGGCCACATGGCTGGGTGGGGATCAAATTCATGATGCAGATAGCTTCACAGTGCTGAGACTTAACCATTTGTACCAGCAGGGAGGCCCTGTAGGGAATCTTGAAGTTGGGTAGTATTAGTCTTTCAACTTTATTCTAGTATGTTAGCTATTCTGTGTCTTTTACCCCTTCATATGAATTTTAAAATCAGTATGTCAATATACACAAAATTTCTTGTAGGGATTTTGATTGGGCTTACATTAAATCTATAGAGGAAGTTGGGAAGAACTGACATCTTGACACTACAGAGTCTTTCTATTCATGAATATAAAATATCTATTTAGTTCTTTGATTTCATTCATCATAATTATATAGTTTTATTCATATAGATCTTGTACAGACTTCATTTTTGAGAAACATTGTATTCTTAATTTCAAATTATACTTGTCACTGCTAGAATACAAGAAAAGTGGTTGACTTTTCTATATTAATCTATATCTTGCAATCTTTATAATCACTGAAGTTCCTGGGAGTTGTTTCTTTTTTTTAAATCACATTCTTTCAGATTTTCTGCAAAGATAGTTGTATCATTTGCAAACAAAGGCAACATAATATCCTTTTGTTCTCCTACATATTCTATACATGTCTCTAAAATATATGGGTATTTGCTATATAACCATGCCATTATAATGCCCAACTAAATTACCCCATTAATCCTTGGAAAATCAACACCCAGGCTATTTTCAGAATTTCCTGATTCTCTAAAAAAATCCACATTTAAGGCTTTTCAACTTAAAAAGTATTGTATTAAGTTTGGTTGTACTGTCTCAATCATTTTTTAAAATAGATTTATTTTTATTTATTTATGCATATAAGAATGGGGTGTGGGCCAGAGGCATGGGGAGGGAGTGGGAGGATTCACTAGAGACAGAGTAGGGAGCAGAACAGGCAAATCTATTGAAGTACACTGTCAGGGGAGCAGCTGGCAAGATAGGAGAGGTCTGCTGCCTGCTCTGTGTCAGCTCCCTGGCTGGGGATCGAACTCAGACTGCAGTAGCTGCCCAGAGCTTGATAGTGCTGAGACTTAACCCCTTGAGCCACTAGGGAGGCCCTCTCTTAATCATCTTTAATTTAGAACAGCCCACTTTCCCTTTTCAGTTCTTTATGTCATTGGCTTATTGAAGAAACCAGGTCATTTGCTTTGTAGAACTCTCTATATTCTGTCTTTGTCTCCTTGTCACTTACCTTGTTCCTATATATCCATATTTCCTGTAAATGGATCTTGGCTCTGAAGTCTTGAGTGGGTTCGGATTCAACTTTTTTTATGGTATGCACTTCCTCTCACACCTTAGGTGGAATATGATGTTTTCTCGTCCCACTTTCAGTGATGCTAGTCTGACTCGGGAGCACATATTGTAAAACTTGATCTCTATTTTATAAACTTCCCTATTAACTTTTCAGCTAAGGCCTTCATCTGTTGTTGGTCATCATAGAATTTATTGGTTTATTAGAGTTGCAAAGTGACCATTTTTTCCCTCTGTTTTTCTTTTTTTTTTTAATAATAGTTTATTTTTACATCATTTTGTGTCTTTTTCCATCTCAGTTGTAATCCCCATGGGCTTCCCACTACCAGTTCACCCGTGTGCCATCACCATAGTCCAGTGTATTTCCCTTCTGCCCCCATTTTTTATCCCATTCCCCACTCCACTCCCATAAAACTTCTCTGGTATATAGTTGTTCATTATATTATTATTTTCTTCCCTGGTCCTTTACACTCCTGCTGTGAGTGAAACTCTCCAGTATTTTTCCTGATGCAAAGTGACAATTTTTTAATTGGCATTTCCCCCACACTTATCAGCTGAAATTCTTTCCTAAAGAAAAACTTTCCCGGGCCCTCCCTGGTGGTATAACGGGTTAAAGCGCAGTACTGCAAAGCTCTCCAAAGCCACTGCAGCACAAGTTCGATTCCTGGCCAGGGAGGTGACCCACATGGTGCAGCAGACCTCTCCTGACCCACCCGCTGCTTCCCCTTAGCAGTGTATTTCAGTTAATCTGCCTGTTCTGCTCCCTGCTATGTCTCTAGTGAATCCTCTCACCACCCCATCCCCGCACTTCTGGCTTGTACCGCAGTTCTTGTATGCATAAATAAATAAATCTTTAAAAAAGAAAAAGAAAAACTTTTCCTTATCATCTTAGGGATATTTGGTTACCTTGAAATTCAGTCTGCCTAGGAAAGGCAGGATACACTTAAATCTTTCCTTTTAATGAATATATTTTTAATGTTCTCCAAAAAAAATAGGTAGCAGGGATAGATAGGAAACCAGATGTTTGTAGCAGTGAAGGCATGGAGCAAGTGTGACTGGCTCTGTCTTTGAAAACAGACACTTTCTGGCCCTCCCTGGTACTGCAGCAGTTAAAACGCAGCACTGCAGCTGGCCGCAGCCACATCAGTGCCAGTTCGATCCCCAACCCGGAGGTGACCCACATGGCACAGCAGACCTCTCCTGTCTCTCCCCCCGCTCCCCTCAGCAGTGCACTTCATCAGTCTGCCTGCTCTGCTCCCTGCTCTGACTACAGTAAATCCTCTCACCACCCTTGCACCTCTGTCCTGTACCCCAGTTCTGTATGCATAAATAAATAAATCTTTAAAAAAGAAAACAGACACTTTCCTAGAGACCCAGTATGTGGAAACTTTGCAGATCCCAGCTGAAGAGCCCTTATTTTCTCCCTCATGCAACCACTAGCAATAATAACATTTTACATTTATATTCAAATAGAATTTTCACATTCATGAGCTCATTTAATCCTGGCAATTGGCAGGATGTATGGGTCATGTTATTTCCATTCTGCAGACTATAGATGAAGCTCAGAGAGGTGAAGTGGAGGTGCTGGGTGGGAAGCAGGTCTTCTGTGGGCTGTGACCTCCTCTTTGTGCTGCTCTTCCTCACGGGAGGGTTCTCCATTCCCTTCATCATCATCGTCAAAGCTAGGTTATGGGCTGTATAGATCATTCAGGCAGATATGACCTTCCTTGGTTCTCAGAAAACATGCAGAATGAAAAAAGTGAGCAGATTCAGCTCCCAGGCATGATCTGGCAAGTGCAAGAGCTGTCAGGGAAGATTTTCTAGGTGACTGGAGGCAGGCGACTGACCAATCCAGGTGTTCAGGACAATTGGGAGAAAATGAGAACAGCAGGCAATGGTCAGAGAGTGGACAAAGTCAGGCTGTTTACTGGGGGCTGGGGCGGTGGAGGGTCCTGTGGTTAGATGGAACTGCTGCGGCCTGCCAGTGTGGGTCAGCGTGTGCTCTTGTCCCCTCAGCTGGATGGAGGCCTGCCTGAAGGAGGAGCTTCCTTCCCCAGTGGAGCTGGAGGAGAGCCTTCGGAATGGAGTCCTGTTGGCCAAACTAGGCCATTGTTTTGCACCCTCTGTGGTTCCCTTGAAAAAGATCTATGACTTGGAGCAGTTACGGTACCAGGTGGGGAAAAGAGGCCTCTACTTTCTCTCTTCTTCCCTTTAACTGCCCCTTCTCAAAGCTGAAAGATGGCAACATAATTATTGTCCAAACTGACACTAATGAAGATGAGAGAATAAAAGTGCTGGTAATCATTGCACAAGAACAACAAGTATCAATTGTGTCTCGCAGCCAGGAGGTGTGTATTAGCCTTGCCAGTTAAGGACACTTGCCTAGGTATGTTCTAAGGTGCCCCCGATATAAACCTTCCAAGAAGAATTTTCTATGCCCAGTCTACACTTGGAGGCTGTGGGTTTTGTCACCTTATGGTACCTGCAAGGTATTCTGCCCTTCCTTGCATTCTTCCCCGCCGTCCCCCAACCCATCCCAGTTACAGACTCTAGGATATTAGTCCCATCCCTGTGCATCCTTCCCAAGTGTCCAGCTGGGTCATCCATTCCTGATGGTTTCTGTCTGCCTAAGTGATTCTGTCCTGGGGGTGACAGAAAATGCATAGGGCAAGGCCCTCTGCCTCCCCCCTACCCCTTGAATCTCCTAGCTGTGGTCTGGGTTCTGGCCATAGGGAACCCTGAGAACTATGAAAATAGATTCTATTCTCTTTCAGGCAACTGGCTTGCACTTCCGTCACACAGACAACATCAACTTTTGGCTGTCTGCAATAGCCCACATTGGTCTGCCTTCGGTAAGAGTGGGCCTCAAGATTGGCTCTTTATCCTTCACCAGCCCCCAGCCCCACTCCCACCACACAGTCTCCTAGGGACCCTTTAGTGTCTTCTAAACTAACTTAGTCTGAGCACCAAGTTCCTTGGGGCTGTGTGGCTTTGAACCAGGTTACTTGGTCTCTGCCTCCACTATCCCGTGGCTAGAAGATGGTGAATGTGCACCGGCCCAAATTGTGTTCTGCGCAAGCTACCTTAGGCAGTGAGACCTGGGTGAACAAGGGCACACACATCCCAAGGGGGAGACCCCAGCTGACACATGCTATATGTCCTCTCACCCTTTGTCAGTGTATTTCTGACCTGTAAAAGGAGACCTGTAATCTCTGCCCTGTCTACCTTAGGTTGTCAGGAGTCATCACGACCTGAATAACTCACCCTTTGTGAGTTGGAAAGAACTACACAAATTAAGATAGGATAAGTGTATGACTTCTTTCTGCTTTGTTTTCTTAACTGCGATGAGAACTACCAGGCAAGGAAATGGCATTAAAGAAATAAGCTTGGTGGGAGGCAGGGACGTGAGAGGCCGCTTATCCCTTAGTAGGGCCGAAACACTTTCAGGTCTCCAGATTTGGTTCTTTCTTATGAATCTGAAGTAACCAAGAAGTGTTGAGGTTAGACCTTGTCACAGTTGCTCAGTGGCCTGGGAAGCCATGCCAGGGCAACTCAATTTTTATTCCTTTATGTATTTTTAAGATTTATTTACTTATGCATACAAGAACTGGGGTACAGGCCAGAGGTGTGGGTAGTTATAGGAGTCACTAGAGACAGAGTGGGGAGCAGAACAGGTAGATATACTGAAACACACTGCTGAGAGGAGCAGTGGGCAGGTCTGGAGAGGTCCGCCATGCCATGTGGGTCAGCTCCCTGGGCAGGGGTTGAACTCATGCTGCAGTGGTTGTGATAATTTCACATAGGGTTGTGGTTTAACCCATTGTGCTACCATGGAGGGCCCCGCCACTTAGTTTTTGAAGGGACCCACCCTCCAACTGTGTTGGCAGTCAGGGATGTTATACTTCACCCCTTGGTCTTTGGCAACATATGCCACATTGGTCTCTCTGAGGGTACAGCCAGCTTTCTGCTTGCACCTTTCCGGATAGAGTTTGATGTATGGTGCCCAGGCTCACTGTGTCGACAGGACAGACAGACAAACAGCGTTTATCTTGGAGTATATGAGCCACATCCTATACCCTGGATTGCCTTGTCTGGTATTTGCTTAATCTGCAGTTGTGTGTTTGTGGCCAGTGCCATCATTTACTCTGGACTGGCTATATAGATGGTAGGGGAGACTGACCTAGAAGCCCAGGCCAGAAGGAGCACACATTCTAGGTGAGAGCGGACATGCCCTCTTCAGCTGCCTACCTCCATATCTGGTGCTGCTAATTTAAGGTGCTGCAGTGGTACTAACTGGCTGATTTCTCCCCTAGACCTTCTTCCCAGAGACCACAGACATCTATGACAAGAAGAACATGCCCCGAGTAGTCTACTGCATTCACGCACTCAGGTGAGACAGCCCAGACTTTGTCATCTAGCTTTCTCTTCATGGATGCAGCTAACAATAACAGCAGGAAGGGTGGAAGGTTGACCACAGCAAGCCCTTCTCATGAGAGAGAAACTTTAGGTTTACATAGTTGTATTAGATTTACATGCGTGTGTGTGGGCACATTTAAGGGTAGGGAAGAGTTTTTAGCTTGTGACTGGGGCACAAAGGAATCAGAACAATATCCAGCAAGAGTGTCATGTACAAGTCACTTAGTGTGAACTGGGGCGGTTGTTTGTTCCTACTCACAGTCACACTGTGGTTAAATCACGGAGTGACCATTTCCAGTGTCCCTAGCTTCTTTTCCTGTGTCCTTTCAAGCTTCTGTACTCTGGCTCAGTGTGTCTCCACTTGTTTTTCCCTTTCTACCTTCTCTTTCCATCCAGTGATGCTCCCTGCTCTGTCAAGCCTTCCCAAACCCTCTACCTCCGACAGGGTCTTATTCTCTTTCATAGCACTTGCCTCTGGCTGACTTAAAGAACACCCCTCCCTCAGGACTGAGAGTAGCCTGATCGTCTGCAAACCCAGCATGGGAAGTATGTCAATGAATAGGCTCCAATGTCTTCCGTTCTTTTCAGTCTCTTCCTTTTCCGTCTGGGATTGGCCCCACAGATACATGATCTGTACGGGAAGGTGAAGTTCACAGGTACGCCCAGAGCCTTCCCCAACCTCATAGCATGTCCAGGCGGGGCCTTGGGGGTTTCTGGGCCTGATGAAGAGCACCTGTGTCATTGCAGCTGAGGAACTCAGCAACATGGCCTCTGAACTGGCCAAATATGGACTCCAGCTGCCTGCCTTCAGCAAGATTGGGGGCATTCTGGCCAATGAGCTCTCAGTGGATGAGGCTGCAGGTAGGGACAGACCTCTGCCCTGCTAGAGGTGATTGCAAGTGACAGTGGGGGGGACTCGGCCCGCCGCCTTTGATTGTTGGGTATGTCTCATCCACAAACAGGGCCATCAAGCCACCTTATTGGCCCGGCACCTGTGGGGAGAAAAGGGGCGTGATGTACAGAGCAGCCTGCAACTGGCCTGGGGTTTGTTGTGGCTTCCTGACCTTGTTTCAATGTCCCCTCCCAGTCCATGCCGCTGTTCTTGCCATCAATGAGGCAGTGGAGCAAGGGGTAGTGGAGGACACCCTGGCTGCTTTGCAGAACCCTAATGCTCTGCTGGGAAATGTTCGCGAGCCCTTGGCAGCCATCTACCAGGAGCTGCTGGCCCAGGCCAAGATGGAGAAAGCTGCCAATGCCAGGAACCGCGTAAGGAGGCACCTAGAATGCAGGGGTTGAAGCCGACAAGCTTGAGTGAACCAGGACTCCTGTCTGTCTTGTCTCTAGTTTCCTTAGCTGTTTAGAAAAACTGTTGTTTGTCAGTTATTTTAAAGGAGAACAGTGAGAATGCAGAAGAGAAGAGACACTGGGGGATTGGGTATTCCAGGAAGGCTGAGAGGTTCTGGAATATAGAACTGGGTGAGAACTTCCCTGAATATTCTGAAGAGTGGTTTGATTCACCGTTCATGCCATGAGATTAGACCCTCAATTTCCTAGATAGCTTCTGACCACACTAACCTTTGGCCTTGGGGAGATCCCCAAAAGTATAAATAGGTATAGACAGGGAGAGGGGCAGGTAGAGACTGATTTGGTTTTCCCAGGTTCCCACCCAGTGTGTTTTTTACAGGATGCTGGAGAAAACCAGGACATCTATGACTGCTACCTAACTCAGGCTGAAATCCAGGGCAACATCAACCGTGTCAATGGTAAGAGAGATAGACCACAAGGGATTTGGAGGTACTTCAGGATAAACCCCTGCTCTGGGAGGTTTGGGGATGTCTTTTCCTAGAACAGAGACCCCATGATCTCACTTGGACCAACCCTTATTCCAGTTTAAGATGAAAATTCAGGTTGTCTGTGTTCTACTTTCTGACTATCGATGTCTGGAGAAGTGGCTCCTGTTAAAGGGGTGTCTGTTTCATGGAGATTTTTGGAGAGGGCAGAGCGATTGGTGCTGGGAGCAGTTAGCTCTAGTCCTTCCACAAGGGAGTGGAAATGGGGAGGAAGAGATCAGGCAGGAAATGCGCTTGAAGACCAGAACAGAGTGGGCACCTGCTTATTTGGGTCAGGACATCCTCAGGTGGTGGGTCAGGAAGGCTGTGAAGATCAGACTGAAGAATTTGGGCTGGACCAAATGTGTACTGGAAAGGTGGGGGCAGCGGTGGGGATAACTGGGCAGACAAGAAGAAGGCAGATTCCTAGGCCAGGATGGTAAGGGGTGGACTTTCTCAGACAGTCCATTTTGGAATCTTGGTCTTTTTCATTTCAGTCCATGGAGCACTAGAAGTGGTTGATGAGGCCCTGGAAAGACAGAGCCCTGAGGCCTTGCTTAAGGCCCTTCAAGACCCTGCACTGGCCCTTCAAGGAGTGAGACGAGACTTTGCTGATTGGTACCTGGCACAGCTGAGCTCAGACAGAGAGCAGAAAGCACAGGTTGGGCTTCGCTGGCTGCACCTCCTCTAAGACGGGTGGGCTCTTCTTCCAGCATTACCACTGTCAGTTCTTGGTATTCAGTAAGTGCTGATGACACGTTTAAATGGTTAGGTCAGGGGAGTCACAAAACAAGTAAGTAAATAAATGGTTAGATTACCCCAAAGCCCAGTAATCTGGACTGATCAGCTTCTCCCCTGAGAGTCTTTCAGATTTACTGGCGATGGGGGAGGGAGGGGTTCTAGTAGGCAGTGACAAGCTCCCCCATTGCTAAATTGGCTCCTCAACTTAGCAGTCTGATTTCAGTGCTACTAACTCTCTCTCTCCTTGACATTCTACATTTGTGGTACCTATGTTGTTTCAGACCTTGCTAAATCATAAAAGTCTGAGGTTAGAGACTGGTTAGTAGAGCCGGTGCGCCAGGTTTATTGGCCTAAAGGGGAGAAGCAGGTTTGCAGGAGGGTGAGTGGTGGGGCTGAGTGCTCCTGCTGGCAGCTCCTGGAGCAGGTCAGCGCCCCAGGAGGATCCTCTCTACTGCAAGCTTCCCTCTTTCAGGAGCTGGGCCTGGAGGAGCTTCTGGAAAAGGAGGAGGTCCAAGATGGTGTGACTGCAGCCAACATGAAGGGTGATCAGGAGCAAGCCAGTAAGTCAGTTCTAGACTCTTACTGGCTCTTGGACCCTTTGCCAGCTTCTGTGTGACACAATGCAAACCGCCGCCTGACCTCCACCTGGCGAGGGCTTCCTCCCCTAGGGGGTGTGCCTCTTTCCTGGCTCTCTCAGTGTCCTGGAGGGACACTGCAGACTGGTTCATCATGGCCTTAGAGATAATGGAAATCAGTACTGTCCAGGCTGGACTCCTGGGCATGCCGCTTCCTTCCAGGCGACTCCCTTGTATTTTGGCAGTTTTAGCCTGCAGCAGTTTTCTGTGGGGTCTGAAATGTATTGATCTCTCAGATGAGAGAAAAATTCCTGATCCAACTGTTTTCCTTAAAAACGCTGTATAGAAATATAATTCTTACTAACAGCATGTGAGTCAGTGATTGCCTCCCTCCTAGGGAGCAAGAGAGGAGAGAGGGGTGCAAAGGCCCCATGCAGTAGCCTGTGGCCACCAGACCTGCTGCGCTTGCTTCCCTGGTTTTGACTTGTCAGCTTTGACGTCGCTCAGTAACCGTTTGCCTTAGCCAGGACTTTCTTTTCAGCTTGCATGGCCCCCCGGCACTCCTGAGGAACTGCCCGCCGTGTCGCTTAGCTCATTCCCACAGCTGCGCCAAAGTCATCTTTCCAGCACAGATCTGATTGACCTTCTTTGTTGAATATCTTCAGACCTTGGGGGCTCGTCATTATTTATTGTTGGCTTTAATAAGACCTTTCCTGAGCTCTCCCCACTCCCTTCTCTTCAGCCCAAGAGCCTGCCCCTAGCCCTCCTACCACCGGGTCTCTAGTCCTCTGGATTTTGCTTCTCCCACATTTTCACCTGTCGGAAGCTACTGAAAACTTCCTCCAGAGCTGCCTGCAATATTTCCTCCTCTGTGAAGTCATCCTACTCGCTCCCACTGGAATCCCTCCTCCCTTGCACTGCCCTAGCATTTGGGGAGGGGGAAGCACCTCGCAGCAGAGGCAGCAGGGCTCTAAGGTATTTGTATTCATTCTCCCCAGTCGATGTGTGCTCCCTGGTGCCAGTGACCCTATCTGCTTGGTATTTTGTAAGACCTAGTGCTTGGCAGCTGAAACTACATTGATGCACTGTGACCCTTTTTAATTTATTCTGTCCCTTTACAGCCCAAATGGCTTTGCTTTTTGATGCTAGCTCTTTTTACCTCCGTGCATCCCTAGAACCTCTTGACTATCTTCATCTAGTTACCTTCCATAGCCTCCTGTCAATCTATTTCTCACCTCCTTAGGAGCTCACTACCCTGTGATGTCACTCCGGGTACCTGCTGAGTTACTCAGCTTCTAAGCCTGCTAGATTGCTTTTCAAAGAGTCTTCTTAAAGCTACCCAGCCCCTTTTCCTCCTGGACATATTTTTTCAAAGATTTATTTATTTATGCATACAGAACTGGGGTACAGACCATAGGTGCAAGGGTAGTGATAGGATTCACCAGAGACAGTGGGGAGTAGAACAGGCCAACCGATGAAGTACACTGCTGAGGGGAGCAGCGGGCAAGACAGGAGAGATCTGCCATGCCATGTGGTTCACCTCGGGCAGGGACCGAACTCGCACTGAAGCAGCTGCAGCCACCTTCATAGTGCTGCGCTTTAGCCTGTTGCGCCACCAGGGAAGACCCTCCTTGACATTAGAAAAACATTTTTAGGCCCTCCCTGGTTAAAGCACAGCACTGAGAAGCTGGAGCCACTTCTGCATGAGTTCGAATCCCGCCTGCCGGGGAGGTGACCACATGGCGAGGCAGACCTCTCCTGGCCCGCCCACTGCTCCCCTCAGCAGTGTACTTCGTAGATCTGCCTGTTCTGCTCCCCACTCTGTCTCTGGTGAAGCCTCTCGCCGCCCCTGAGCTTCTGACCTGTACCCCAGTTCTGTATGAACAAATAAATAAATCTTTAAAAAAAAGAAAAGAAAAACATTTTTAACCTGTCAGAACAGTTTTCAAGAGCAATTGCAAAGCTGTTTCCCCTCGTGATCCCCATCAGAACCTACTGGGCCTAGAGTAGAAATGGCACTGAATGGCCAGTATAGCCTCTCTCCTCCTCTGCAGTGCTCTGGGCTGTACAGAGGATCAATAGGGCCATCCAGAGGGGAGTGGCTGCTGAGACTGTGAAGGAGCTGATGTGCCCTGAAGCCCAGCTGCCTCCGGTATACCCCTTTGCCTCAACTCTGTACCAGCAGGAGCTGGCAGTGCTCCAGAAGCAGCAGGAGGGGGTAAGCCACAGAAATGAGGGCTTAGCTCTTGGCTTCCGGAGCAGGGATCAGTCCTGTCCATAGCAGCCTCGGGAGCGCTCTCGCATGATGGCAGGAGTTAGGGTCGGGAGGAGGGCTACCATCCTGTGTGTATTGCTCAATACCCTGAGCAAACACTGCTTTACACTCTCATTTAATCTTTACAAGAACCCTGTAAGGTGTTATTGTTTCTCTTAGAGATTAGGAAACTGAGATGCAGAGGTTAAGTAACTTTCCCAACACTGCTGTGACTAGAAGTGAGTTAGAGTAGCTGTCCTACAGAGAAGGGAGTGAGTACAGAGCCAGACATACTGCAGGTACTGAAGTAATTGCTCTGCTGTCCCACTTCAGCCCTGTCCACACAGCTTCCCTGGCAGTGAGGAGACAGGTCTCTCCCAGGTGAACTCCCAGTATACCTGAGGACCCAGAGAGGGAAGAGTAGATGATGTAAGTGAAAGAATTTAGACCAGGAAAATGGCGGGCAAGGAACTAGGAGTAAATCTGGAAGGCTTCCTGGAAGAGAGAAGACTCAGTAGAGAGTCATCCCCACAGCAGGCCCTTATAGCACACTGACCCCAGGCACAGCCCTCAGGGAGGGCATAGTCGCAAGACCAGAGTTTATGATGAGGAGACATAAAATAAGTACTAAGAGGTAAAGCATAGTGACTAAGGTTGTGGAAGTTACAGCCAGAACCACCCAAGTTCTGACTCTGCTGCTGCCTAGCTTTGCGACCTTGAGCAAGTCATGTACTTTCAATTCATATGTCAACTGAAAACAGTAACATACTTACTTTATAGGGTTATTGTAAGAGCTAGATGGGTTAACATGTGCTTAGAAACAAGCCTGGGTTTAAGTCTTAGCTGTTGTTATTATTTGCAGCATTCTGTTTGTATAGGACAGGACGGTACTCCAGATAGAGGGAGCAGCAGAGCAGCTGCCTGGAAAGGAGAAGACTGGGCAGGGAAAAGGACAAGGCCTGGCGCTGGGACAGTGTGGACATGCCTGCTTTCACTTCCTCTCCGAAGGCCCAGGAGCTTCTAGATGTGTGGGTGGGACTAGAAAAAGACTGGTAGAGCCCACTGGCTGAGTGTGGGCTCTAGAACTGAGCAGTCAGGTTTCATTTACATCACAGGTGTGTACGGGCTCACCTGTGAAACATGAAATACACTGAGCGCCCAGTAAGCCATTCCCAAGTGTCCAGTATAGTAACTGTTAGTGAATGAATCATGAATGTGGGCTTGGGGGCAGACACTGGGGCCTGGGGGAGCTTTAGGGTCGGGATGGCAGGCCCTTCACCAGCCCCCTTGGTTGGGCTTCTCCTCCATCACAGGAGCTTGACCAGGAGGAGCTCTTTGTGGCTGTAGAAATGCTCTCAGCGGTGGTCCTGATTAACCAGGCCCTGGAGGCCAGGGATGCCAGCGGCTTCTGGAGCAGTCTGGTGAACCCTGCCACTGGCCTGGCTGAAGTGGAAGGAAACAATGCTCAGCGGTGAGAAGGATTTAGCCACGTGTTGAGAGAGGGGGGATGGCAGGAATGGAGCCAAGACTCCGAGCGCTGGCTGGAGATTCATCTTCTGTGTGAGGCCCTGCTCTTGGACCAGCCCACCTCCGGGCCTGTTTGCCGGCCTATGGTTTTTCCTGAGAGTGGGTGGTTCACGGTCATTATTCCCCTGTCCTCTTTATTCATTCTTTCATGTGAAGGCTTGAGCACCCACTCACATGCCAGATACTATTCTGAGTGCTGGGAAACAACAGTGAACAAAACAAAGTTCCTGCTCTCATCAAACTTAGTTAGGGAAACAGACAAAAAAACAAACCTAGTTGAGGGAAACAGACAAAAAAACAAGTCAGATGAGTAGAAGAGAAGAGTCACTGTGGCGAAAATAACATGACAAAGGGATTGAAGAAGGGGGGCATGGTGTATCCGTTTTACACAGAGTGGCTGTGGGAAGGAAGGGAGTCACTTTAGAGAGACATAGAAAACATAGGTGATGGCCATGAGACTATCTGGGACACAGGCCCTGAGAAGAAGTCAGCTTGGTGTGTTCTAAGAATGCCAGGTAGCCACGTGGCAGGGTGGAGTGTGGAAGGGAGAAGAACGGGAGAGGAGGTAGTTGAGCCCCGACATGTGGCCCATGGCTTTCTCTCCAATTGAGGATGGATGCCAGGGGAGGGCTCTCAGCAAGGAGGGAGAGGATCTGACTACTTTTAACAGGACCCCCGGCTGCTGTGTAGGAGAGTTGGGGAGACCTGTTTGGTGTCTGTTGGAGTAATCGGGGAGAGATGATAGACGCTTGCCTAGGGTGGTAGTGGCAGAGGCAGTGAGGAGGAGGTGGATTTTAGGTATGTTCTGACAGCCATTTGGTTATGTGGTGGATCTGGGTGTGAGAGAGTAGAGTTGGATGTGACGCTGAGATTTTTGGCTGAGAGACTGTAATGGATATTCACTGTGATGGGAAAGAACATGGGAGACACAGGTCAAGCAGGAAACCAGGAGTCGAGCTGTGAGCTGTTAAAAGCACCTCACAAGGAGATCCGAGGAGGCAGCTGAGATGTGTGAATGCTCTGGAAGTGTGCTCTTGGCAGTCATTAGAACATGATTCAGGCCATGAGATTGGGAGAGATCACCTAGAATATGAGTGAGCAAGATCTCAGGCTGAGCCTAGGGGGTGCTCTGGTATTTAGCAGTGAGGGGGATTAGAACACCTGTGAGGTGAGAAGAGCACCAAGAGCGTATGGTGTTGTGGAGGCCAAGCGAGGGCAGTGATTCAGAAGTTCCCTGATTTCTGTCTGACATACTTGTACCGCTTATCGCACTCTCTCACCCTGCTGCCAGTTACTTTGATGCTCTGGTGAAGCTGCGACAGGTGCGTGGAATAGATGGAATCATGTTGAGCTGGAACGACCTACAGACCACTGTGAGCCAGGTCAATGCCCTTGTTCAGGAAGAGACCAATCGTGAGTGGCAGGGCCTGGGGAGCACAGCCCAAAATGGGCAGCCCTATCCTTTAGGCATAAGTCTGGGCCCTCTGCCCACTAGCTCTTTTTCCCAGAGGTCCTTGCTGTCAACCTCATCAATGAAGCTTTGGACCAAGACAGCCCCGAGAAGACTCTCTCTGCCCTGCTGCTTCCCACTGCCGGCCTGGATGGTGTCAGCCTCCCTGTTGGCCCTCGGTACCATCTCCTCCTTGTGGCAGCCAAAAGGCAGAAGGCACAGGTGAAGCTTGCACTAGCCACATTGGTCCTCGGAGCAAAAGAACATCCCATGTGGACAGAGTTGTACCCAGTTTGCATCCTGGGAGAACACCAGGGCAATAGGTTCTCCCCAGGGTGGGGTGCAAGAGGGGTTCTGATCTAATAGGGGCTGATGGCTCCCATTGCCAAAGCCCTGGACAGAGCTCCAGTTACCAGCCCAGAGAGGACATTGGGGGCCGTGTGTGGGAAGAACAAAGGCCTGAGACAGAACCCAGCTGGGTTTACTGCTCTGCCACTTAGTGACCATGTGACCTGAACATACCCTAACATCTCTGAGCTCTACTTATCCATCCGTAAAACACTGCCTACCTCCTCAGATGAAGGTAGAATCAGATGCTTCAAACTGTGACAGGGTTTTGAGCGTGTGACAGCAGAGTCTGGTTGAGGGCTGAGGTGGCCTAAAACCCTGCTCATGTTCCTCACTACTCTCTGTGTCATTACCCTCACCTGCAAGCAAGTGATGATAATGAACTTATCTGAGAGTTAGGGGATTTTTTTTTAAGGTTTATTTATTGGCCCTCCCTGGTGGTGCAGCGGGTTAAAGCACAGCACTAAGAAGCTAAAGCCACTTCCGCATGAGTTCGATTCCCGCCTGGCCTGGAGGTGACCACATGGCGTGGCAGACCTCTCCTGACCCGCCCGCTGCTCCCCTCAGCAGTGTACTTCGTCCATCTGCCTGTTCTGCTCCCCACTCTGTCTCTGGTGAAGCCTCTCACCCTCTGCATCTCTGGCCTGTACCCCAGTTCTGTATGAATAAATAAATAAATCTTTAAAAAAAAAAGATTTATTTATTGATGCATACAAGAACTGGGGTACAGGTGTGGTGGGTTAGAGGATTCACAAGAGACAGAGTGAGAAGCAGAACAGGCAGATTGAGGGGAATAGCAAGTGAGACAGGAGGGGTCTGCTGTGCCATGTGGGTCACCCCCTAGCTGGGAGTTGAACTTCTGCTGCAGTGGCTGGTGGTAGCTTCATAGCTCTGCTCTTTAAACCCTTGTGCCACCAAGAAGGCCACATAAATTAAAATCTGAAAAAATGTTAGTTCAGAAAGCCCATTACTGAAGTGAGTTGGGAGGGGTCCAGTGAGGATTTGGGGTTAGGTAAGATAAGAGCGGGATCTGGCCTGTCAGTGTTGCAGGTAAGGGCTCACTTGACCCATGGCCACTTGTAATCGCCCCCAGTACAAAAGCATGGATGGGAAGGAGAAAGTCAGGGTCAAAATTAGCCTTACAAGGTATGAACTTCCAAAAAAAAAGCTATGAACTTTCATTCCGCATGAAAGGCATAAGGACCGGGCACCAGGGGTGGGTCAGGGGAGCCTCCTATGTGGGCTCTACTTGGTCCATGCTGAGACACAGGGCAGAAAGTGATCTGTTGAGAAGGTGGATGCTGAGGGCTTAAAAGAGTTCTGGGGATGCTGTGCACAAGCTGAGTTGACGTTGGGCTGGCCTGAACGTAGGGTAGAAAGGAAGCTTGTAGGCCTGGCAGCAGGCCAAAGGTGAAGGTGCTGTCCCTGTGGCTCACATTATTGGCCTGCAGGTTGGTTCCTCTGAGCAGCAGGACCTCGGCATCTGGAGAGACCAGACTGGATGCTCATCTTTTCTCCTCTCGATTTACCAGGTGACGGGGGACCCTGGGGCTGTGCTCTGGTTGGAAGAGATCCGCCAAGAAGTGGTTAGAGCCAACCGGGATACTGAAACAGCTCAGAGAAGTAAGTGGCCAGCAGCGGCGCCAGAAGCAGAGGGGAGGGCCGGAGGTGGGCTCAGCAGAAGTCCAGTTAATCAGGCAGCCTTGCAGTCACCTCCAATGCCCCTCCAGCCGCAGAACAGAAAGGTTGCTGCTTGGACTAAAGGGTGGCGTTCCTGTGGGTCTGCTGGGCAGAAAACCTTGGGAGCCGAAGGCCATGGCCTTACCTGTGCTTTCCCCCACGATGGGAGCGTGTAACAGCGAGTGGTGGGCAGAATTTTGTCCCATTTTCAACTAATGGCTTGATTTGGGGTCCCACACTCAGCTCTGGTCAGAGGTTTAGTCTTGCATGCGGGAGGGGAGGGGTCGGCTCTGAGGAGAGTAGACAGGGTGAGCACACATGCACAGTGTGCGGTCGTGAGCTGAGTCTGAGGCCCCCCGGCCTGTTGCTGAGTGACTGGAACAGAGGTGCGACATTGCCTCTGCCACCTTCCTTGGACTTCACTCACCTGAGACGCTGCGCTGAGGCTTTCTGCCCATATCTTGCCTTTGAGTTTCTATGGGAGCTGATGTCTCTGCCAGACCCCGACCCCTGCCGCCCCCTCCAGGCAGACTTCCTTTATTGCCACTTTTCCTCCTAGCACAGCAGCTTGCTGCTGCTTCTCATCTGTGTCTGTGTCCTTCCTGAATAGTACCCTGTCCCCTCCATCAGATGGGGTGTTTTTATGTCCTCTGAATCTCTCCCCAGTGGACAGGACGGGGCCTGCGGGAGGAACTCAGGGAGGGACTGACTGCTCCCTCCTGATGCTTTGTCAGTGGCTCTCGGCGTGGCTGCCATCAATCAGGCCATCAAAGAGGGCAAGGCAGCCCAGACAGAGCGCGTGCTGAGGAACCCTGCTGTGGCCCTCCGAGGGGTGGTTCCCAACTGTGCTAGCGGCTACCAGCGAGTCCTAGAAGATATCATGGCAAAGAAGCACTGCCCAGGTAAGGGCCCAGCCTGGTCCTCTGCTTCTCGGCTGCCCCAGCCACCTCCTGCCTCCTCTTAGTCTCCTCTGCTTACTTTGCTTCTGTTAGGGGACGTAGCTTTCTGGGTTCCACATGACCTGAAGGATGGCACCACATACTACTTCCATCTGCAGACCTTCCAAGGGACCTGGGAGCAGCCCCTTGGCTGCCGCCTCAACACCTCCCATCTGACACGGGAGGAGATCCAGGTTGGCAGGGCCCCTGCCAGGAAGGAAGGGCACGGAGGGCGCCCCAGGAGAAGCCCGCCTGTCAGGGTGCCACAGGCCCTCTCTCGTGCCTCCACAGTCTGCCATCACCAAGGTCACCGCTGCCCATGACCGCCAGCAGCTCTGGAAGGCCAACGTCGACTTTGTCATCCGGCTCCAGGCCCGCCTCCGTGGTTTCCTGTCTCGGCAGAGATTTGCTGAACGTTCCCACTTTCTGAGGACCTGGCTCCCCGCAGTCATAAGAGTCCAGGTAGCAGGCTCTGGCTTTCTGCGTCATTAGGGCCGAGCGAACCCGAGCTTCAGGTTGTCCTCCCTACTTCCTTTTGCCAAGAGCAGTTAGGGAGATTTCTTTGGTCTCTGAACTTAGTAGTGGATTCTGGAGCCCAGACTACCTGAGTTTGAATCCCAGCTGTGTGACCTTGACAGATGACTTACTCTGGCCCAGTTTCCTCTGGAAATTCTAGTAGCTACCTTATTGGGCTGTAATGAAGTTTAAGTGAGTTAATGTCTGCAGTGCCTTGCGGGCAGGCAAGGACAGTGAAGTTCTAGTCGCCGCCGTCACCACCGCCATCCAGAGCGTAAGGGCTGCGAAGTGGAATCTGATTTACTAAGACACCAGGGTTAGACACTAGAAGAACTTCTGGCCAAAAAAATAGTGAAAAGCTGTTGGTGGTTAAACTTTATAGAAAAAAATCACTTAGGGAAAGAACTTCCGCTTTTCCTCTCCAGCTAGCCTTTTCCTTTTTCATTCGTCTAGCCTTCAGATGGCCCATCAGAGCTTCCAGGACTGGCCTCCCAGTGAATGGCACAGGAGGCCAACTGGGAAGATAGGCCTCAGCCTGGACACTCCATAAGGCAGGAGGGACAAATGGAGAGCTCCCCCGCTAGATAGGACCCCGAGGGCCTCGGAGGGATGTTGGCAGATTAAAGATACTTTAATAAACCTCTCCAAATGCCTGGTGTCTGCGAAGTTTGCCACTTGGAACTGAGCAAATGCCAAGTGGAGGGTGTGTGTGAGACATACAGAGGAGCGATCACATCCTCTCTCCCCCATCAGGACCTGGAATATAGTTATGTTTGATGTTGTGACAGTAGGGACATAAAGATAATGCCAGAGAACCCCAAGGGACACAGCTATACCAGCTAAGATTGGCAAACACTCGCTTATAACCTGGGGCATGCAGGGTGGTGACTGAGAGCTCAGGCTTTGGGCTCAGAGATTGGAGTTTGCCCCCTAGTCCTGTCACTTCCAGGTCAGTTGATGTGGGGCCCTTCAGCTCTCTCCAACACTCATTTCCTCGTTCAGAATGGTGACACTCGCCTCGTGTGCTCATTAGGGCGGTCAAATAGGAAAATTACTAGCAGCGTTCAGTGCAGTAAGCACCATTGGTGGTAGCCGCTATGAAATGTTACATTGTGGAGCTTTGGTCCCAAAACTTAAGCGAGACCTTAAGACTCACCACAAGGTGGTCTAAATTGGATTCTTCCCTCCTGGTCACAGGCCAGAGTATCACACCAATTCTAGGGAGCAGAAAAGCCACAGCAGGGGTAGGAGAGCGGTGGACTCAGAGGGCACAGTTGCTACCAATACAGGAGCCGTAGGGGCTCTGCCTGGGTCCTGGGAGGTCCAGAGTGGGCGGTGGCCAGAGCCTCAGGCTACCTGCCCTCCCCTGGGGAAGTAAGAGTCAGAGATGAGGCCATGTGGGTGTGCTGAGATTTAATCTCTCCTAAAAGTTCTGACCCTGACTGGGACCCCATTTAGAGTCTTGAATTCTAACCAGTCCAGATTGGTCCTTTTTCAGGGAGCACCCAGTGGTGGTGGGCAGGACCCCTCTGTTTTCACTCCAGCCCGCAAGGGCATGTCAGGCCACACCTGGAGTAGGAGAGGAAGGAATGAGGAGGAAAGGCATGAAAATGGGGTTTCCTGACTCCTAGGCTCCAAGGTGGCTTGCTGGTGCTTGGGGCCAAGCTGCCTCACTCATCTCCTATCCCCGCAGAGGGACACTCGGAACCCCAGGGGACAGCCTGGCCAGGGGAGCTAGATTGAGGACAGGCTGGGAGATTAACCAGCCAAAAGCAGATGCTTGTCATTCACCAAACTGCGAAGGTGTGGGGTCGATTACCCTCTGGAGCCTGAGCACACGGGATATTTGAGGTGGGCCCTAAGAAGTGGGAAGGATTTGGTGGGTAGAGGTGGCACTGGGGCAAGGATGGGCATAAGCAGGTTTAGGGGTAGTTAACCATTGATATGCTTAGGAGAAATGTCCATTCCCACTAGAATCCTTTAAAAAGCTAAGGGGCCAGTAGAAAGTTAGAAGTGTGGGACCAATCATTGAGAACTTATGGAAGAGAAATGGTCCAAGTGGTGATTTAGAAAATTAAATTCACACAAACTTGGGTGGTTCCTAGGAAGGAGGTCATGCTGAAAGGTAGCCATGAGGTATATTTTAGAGAACAAAGGGCACGATTTATGGGAAATTCTGACTGCAGCTCACCAGTTGAGGAGAGGCCACTGACTGACAATGAATTACTGGGGACCTTGTTGGGAAGATTTGCTTCCAGCTGGGCGGTGCAGTGGTAAAGGGAAGTGTGAGTAGTGAGACCGCTGCCCAGATGGCTGCTGGCAGAAATGGTGGTAGTTCTATGCCATGGTGTACCCCTAAAAACTTCTGTGTGATAGTGTGGGGGTGGTCGCTATAGGGGTGTGTGAGTGTATTTTGGGGGATCCAGCACATGCTTTGGTAAAGATGATGAGTGGGTGTATGCTTTCTTAGTATCTTTGAAGTTTGTGTCTTAGAGTTGAGTTTCTGTGAGGAGGTGTGGGTTAGTGTGGGGTATGTGTTTGTGTGGTGTGTGTTTGCACGTGTTCACATGTGCATTGAGACCAGGGAGTGGGGCAGAGAGCAATGAGGTTGGCTATGTGCACGTTTGGGCTCCCGCATAAAGTCAGAAGTTCCTTGAGAACAGGGCCAGTTTCCTCTTCCCACTCTAATTCTGCCCCTACTCCTGCCCCCTTCCCTGGAAATTCCATGCTTTCCCCATAAGCCTCTCAGGCTAGCAGGGACCAACTAAGGTTATCTCTTTTTCTCTCTTGATGTGCAGGCTCATTGGCGGGGCTACAGGCAGCGGAAGATTTATCTAGAACGGTTGCAGTATTTAAAGGCAAACGTGGATGCCGTGATCAAGGTAGCTATCATGGCTTGGGCAGGATTCTGTCCCCTGACAAGCCCTATGAGAACAACTGTTCAGCCCTCTCATCTCCTCGGAGATGGTGAGCTGGTCTGGGACTGAGAGGCCCTGAGCTGAGAGCGCTGAGGCAGCATTGTTTCCTCCCAGATCCAGGCATGGGCCCGCATGTGGGCAGCCCGGAGGCAATACCGGAGGCGTCTGGGCTACTTCCAGAAGAATGTGAGTCTCAACCTGCTTCTCCTGTCCCCACACTCAACCTTAAGACCAAGGCTAGGGCAAACGGAAACCCTTTCCCATCTGTGTTCATGGTAGGTCAATGCCATTGTAAAGATCCAGGCATTTTTCCGAGCCAGGAAAGCCCGGGGTGACTACAGGGCCTTAGGTAAGCTGCCTGCTCTCTCCTCTGGGTTGTGAAAAATGGCCTGGGCTTTCCTATCTATCTGTGTGTCTGTGACCTCGTGGGTTCAACAGAGAGTAGGGCAGAATACTTACAAACTGGGGAAATATTCTGGCCTCTGGGGCCCTCTTCTCTTCACAACAGCTGATCTCCCCAATCTCGAGTGATCTACCCTCTCTTTACCTAAGTGATCTCATCAGTAAATTATAATATACTGACCTCATAGGCTTGTTTTAAATAATTAAGGCACTTAGAATGTTTTCTGTCTCATAGTACACGAATTATATATATTCATTATTTCATTGTTATTTCCTGTAGCTTCACTCAGAGGCTTTACTTTCATCGGATACCCATTACAAACGGCTGAAGGAGACTCACCAGTAGATCCGACCTCCTTGCATTATAAAGCCTGAGCATTCCTCTGCCTGCTGCCACCCACTGCCCCCTCCCGACAGGCAGATGGTGTGGCACAGGCATGGCTGAGCAGAGGCGGATAGGTGGAAGCAAACTTGGGGTGAAGCGAGGAGTAAATCAGAGTTGGGGATCATCAGAGGGACCTTAGGCTGACTCTGATGTATGGGTAGGTCCAGGTTGGGGTGAATTCAGGAGTAAGGGAGGACAGTTCTTATGTCCTACCTGGTTATGAGGCCAGGAACAGAACTAGCAGGGAGGCTACCCACTGCCCTCTAACTGTAAGTAAAACCAGTTAGAACAGAACTGGCTTTGGGTTGTGCCGGCCTCAAGCGGAATGGGAACTGACCGTGGGGAAAAGGGTCAGGAGGTGGTAAGGACCGCTCCGGGGCGGGCATGCCTAATCCCGATGCCCTTCTCTCCCTGCCAGTCCACATGTCCCATCCCCCTCTCAGCGTGGTGCGCAGGTTCGCCCACCTCTTAAATCAAAGCCAGCAGGACTTCTTGGCCGAGGCGGAGCTACTGAAGCTTCAGGAAGAGGTAGTCAGGAAGATCCGGTCCAATCAGCAACTGGAACAGGACCTCAACCTCATGGACATCAAGATTGGCCTGTTGGTAAAGAACCGGATCACACTCCAGGTGAGGGGCCTGTGACCCTGGTCTCCCTGCCTTTGGAGAGGGAATGCTGGCCACTCTCTGGTTGCTAACCAAATATTTTTTAAATATCTGGGTTTTTTCACCTGGCTCAGTTCCTTGTTAAAGTGATTCTCTGCACTTCCAGTAACTTTGGGAGGCACATGATAAGTAGGAAGAGCCCTAGATATAATAAAATTGGAGTTCCTGGTTCTGTTGATTTGTTGTATGAGCCTGTGGCTGTTAACCTCTGAGTCCATTTTCCCATTAAATTGGAAATAATGAGTGCGCCCACCTCACTGGGCCAGAGGTAGACAGATATGCAACTCCTCAAATTGTGAATTACCACACCAACAAGCAGTGATGGAATAGAAGGGATACAGTGCTATCTCCTCCTGAAATTTATACAGCAGTCAAATAAGAAATAGCAAAAACAAAGAGACAAGATGTGTCAGCCTGGAAACCCATTGTTCCTGTGAACTCCTGCTGGAGGGCAGAGGTGCAGAGGGAAGCTCAGGGCTGGAAGGGCCCTTCCTCACCCTGGGGCCACTTACCTCCTTTGGCTCATGCCTTGAATGCCTTGAATAGCTGAAAGCTCTGGTTTTTCAATATGCTGGTTCTAGACCCTATGTTCTGTGCTAGCCTGGACTAATTGTGTATCTGCTCCCCCCACCTGGCAGGAGGTGGTCTCCCACTGCAAAAAGCTGACCAAAAAGAATAAGGAACAGCTGTCGGATATGATGGTTCTGGACAAACAGAAGGGGTTAAAGTCTCTGAGTAAAGAGAAACGGCAGAAACTGGAAGCTTACCAACACCTCTTGTACCTGCTCCAGGTGAGCAGAGGACTTCGGAAGATGCCCACCAACCCCTCAGGGTCTGGGACCTTGAGGCCTTCATGGCTGTGTTTTGGTCTCCATGTAAGGTATTGTTACAGGGCACCACCCTGTTACAGTATCATTTCCCACAATCCTAATGCCTAGACCCCAGGAAGAAAGACTGCCTCCTTCCATTTGTCTGGACTGTCTCCTGCACCCCTGAGACAATTGGACAGTGCTTTGTCCAGCCCAAGTTTCCACTGGAAAGCCTGTCTTTACTTGATGGCTGTCCTTGAGATACACTATCAGCCGTTTCTGTCTCCCCTGTAGACTCATCCTATCTATCTGGCCAAGCTGATTTTCCAGATGCCACAGAACAAAACCACCAAGTTCATGGAGTCAGTGATTTTCAGCCTGTATAACTATGCCTCCAACCGCCGCGAGGCCTACCTTCTGCTCCAGCTGTTTAAGACCGCACTCCAGGAGGAAATCAAGTAGGTTTTCCAGATGCCAAGGAATGGGAAGAGCATGGGCTCAGAGACACCACTGTTGGCTCCTTCACCAGGCCACAGCTTATTGAGGTTTGAAGATAGAAATGGAACCAAAAGACTTATTTTATATACATATATATATATATATATATATATAT